TAGTTTGCGTCTAACCTGTGCAAGCATCCCAGTAATCTCGCTAACATCGGATCCCTCTAAATCTTTCTTGGGATCCATTCTTGGAATAAATTCATTGTATATCCGTGAAAATAACGAATGTAGCAGCATTGCCAATCTCCACTGTACACATTACCTCTAAATCGTCCTTGGGACCCATCAGGGATGATTCTGTGCGGATGGTGAGGGTGTTCGTTTATCAGTTACGTTCATTTCAGGAACAAAAGAGCAAGCATATGTGTATGCGCTCTCATCCGCAGCATTAACACACCATGTGGCGAAAGCTTGTGTGTCCGGCGATTTGCCCTATTGTCCATGCGGCCTCAATTCACCGACCGCTTCCGCTGATGCCACCTATAAGGTAGTGATAGCAGTATTAAATACCACCATCCTTCAGCTGGCATACTTAATGCAGGGACAAGAATGCTATTTAAGAATTTGCGAAAACAAAACTAATTACGGGTGTTTTAGTGGAAGGGATGTAGCGACAACGTGCTTTATGGACAGCGAGTCAGTCGTGAATGGGCAGATGCTTCGTGGCGCAAAAAGTGGCGATCAGGTAACGCGACTGCTGCTTCGAGACGACATCATCGAGTATGATCTCTGCATTGTAAAAAATTATGGTTCTATAATTATGTTAATCAAGTAAGGGTAAGGTTATACTAATGGTTCTTCTAAAGTAACTCTAAGTAGCAATGTTGCAGCTCTATTCTTAGCGTTTCCATGATTCCAGAGTAGGAGGGACTCTCTTCCCCACCCCTCTCCCCCTCAGCTCGTGGCCCCCTTCTCCAGGAGTTCGTCCTGCATCGGACTATGCGCATTTATCCACATGCAATGCTCCGCCCATGTTTACAGCTAAGGGATGAAGCACAAACTGTTTTTCTGCTTCCATAATGTGTTATCCGGTACATGTAGTCTTCAATATTTACAAGTTAGCTAGCCGAGGAAATACTGCTTCGACCTTTTTCAGCCAAATTTGGACAGTAAAGGTCATTTTGCGACCAACGAATGACCCTGATGTTATCCGCTAGCCAGAAGTAACCATTCTTGGTCGAAGTTGGAAAACTTCGCCTAGAAAATGAGGGTATTTTGATAACATCAAAAACACCATTTTGAGAAAGTTCACTCGAGCAGTCTTCATTAGCTCCGCCAAGCTTCATAGCCATTGTAGAGGAGGAATTGTCTTTTTTACTTCCTCAGGTCGCAATGCCCACAACAAGTGATTAATTGTATTTCTGGTTCGTTGTCCTCAAGTATCCAGTGCGCGCAAGTTTGGAAAAAATCTACTGTCAGCAAATACTGCTAGAATTCCTTGACTTGGTCGGCTCGCAGGCAGTGCGGGAATGCCACTAGACGTCAATTGTTGGGTCAGCGAACATCGCTCCGTCGCTATTTAGTGAAGACCTCAGGCCCACTCGTCAAATCGTCCGTTGCCTCAAACTTGGATACTATAACCTTTATCATATATAAACAATACGCAGGACACGAACGAATACATGTCGAATATACGCGGACATGACAAGACAACAAGCGCCTCGTCGCTTTATCGCTCGTCGTTGTTGTTCATCCGTCGTCGCGTCGATCCACCGTCCACCGTTGCTAAAATCGTGGAAATGATAAAGGTAGAGGGAAGGAGTGGAGAGGAGTAGGGGAGGGGTTATGCGTCGTCGAACACGTGGATGTTGTTGATTCGAGGCCTCCATCGTTGAAGCGAAAGTGTAGAAGGAGAAAAAAGCCGTGTGAAATGACTTGAAGCATAACAAATGTATAGAAATATAAACATATCGATGTCAATCAAAATGAAAGCTAGAAAAATACTAATTTTATACAGTTTATCACAAGTTGAGATTTAGCAATCACGACAGTAACAATGTGTTATCTTTGGATTAATACGAGGTGTCTTTCAAGGAGCTTCTCGATGACAGCTGGACATACATTAACAGCGATTTCTCGGAGCGTAAATCAACAGCCGATCTTCCACCGCGTGCACGAATGAATGAGCACAATAATGAAGTTGGCCGCCAGGTATAATATTCTTTAACCTAAAATTGCCAGTAAACGAACAAACTGTTTTATTGTTTCATGGAAATCGAGGAGCTTGGATTTGTGAAAATGGAAAAACAATATGTCTGTGTGTTTGAGTTCATTGGATGCCTC